CAAGAAACTGGCTACTTTTCTTTGGGGTCTTTTTACTCTAACTGCCTAGCCAATTCCTACCTCCTATTCTTATCACGCCATCCTCTGAAGGGGTTACCCAAATTGCCAGTAGAGAATAGGGATGCAGACAGCTCTGGCTTCTACCATGCTGAACAGGGACGCAGGGTGAGGCAATTGGAGTACCCCTTCAGTGGGTCTATCTAAAACACTCCCAAATTGCATAACTCTTATCTCTAGGGGAAAAGAAAAGAAAGTCCTTGAATCGTGACTAGGAGATGTGGAGAAGTAAAGGTAAGAGTAATCAGCATTACAAGTTCTAGACAGTGAACTAGAAAAAAGTCAGAACAGGGCAATTTTCAAATGTTCATGAGAGTCCACTGGAATTTCCTGACAAGGGCTTCCAAAAGCATCCCTCTATTGGGTTCCTCCTCATTCTTTTGTCTTCCAAGGCTGGACTCTAGAGTGATGGATTCAGGATTTATTTTCAGGTATTTTGATATCACCACGTGGAGGCAGAATCCAGGGGCTCTCATGCAGTCCCCTGCATTCTCAGCCCCATGCCAGAGGGAGGCCAGAACTAGGCACTCTCTGGCAGTCTGCTGAGATCAGAGCTACTACACCAAAATCCCGTTCTCTCCTTTCACCATGTGGGTTCTGCCCATCAGGCTTGGTTGCAAGCACCTTTTACCTGCTGAGCCATGGGACCAGTCCACAGCACATTTCCTTCCACACTGCGTAATGGAGCCAGTGTGAGCTGCCGAGACCCCCACTGCAGGGCCAGAGCCCTCCTCACACAGTCTCCTCTTTGTTAATTCCACGAAGTAACAAACAGGTCCTAACCAACCTGCCACCAGGGTAACACCTGGCCTATGGACCCAAAGCAAGGAGCTAGGGGGTCGGTCCCATTCTGGCTTGAGTACTTCTAGACCTCTTGAGCCATGAGAGCCCAGTCAGATAATGGCGAGCAGCAAACTAAGGTCAAGATATGCATAAGCCATGGCTGGGTGGCCACAGCAGGCTACACCTGCAATTTGAGCACTGAGAAACATGGAGAAGCCATCTGCCAGGAGAGGCAGAGGAGACACAGAGCTTCCCAAGTGGAATCCCAGCTCAGCCAAGGAGTCTCTAGAGAACACTTCCAGTGGAGATACTACAGGGACAGCTCTCACACTGTCTCGCTCCCTTCATACCTCTCCCAGAGGCTGAAGCTGACTGCACTCCTAGACTATAACTCCCCCACCTGGCTTTTCCAAAGTGCCTGGGTTTCTTGCAATCCAAACTGCTCTTTTCTTGAGACAGGATTTCACTATATATCCCTGGCTGGTCCACACCCTATGACGTAAACCTGGCTAGCCTAGAATTCCTAAAAAGCCTCTTCCTCGGCTTCCCAAGTGGTAGATTACAGGTGTGAGACATCACCCTAGGCTTTTTTTTTTTTTTTTTTGGAGACAGGGTCTCCCTGTAATCCCAGCTGGCAAGAACTCGCTGTGTAGACCAAGAGATCTGCCTGCCTCTGCCTCTGCCTCTGCCTCTGCCTCCCAAGTGCTGGGATTATGAGCTATGCCACCACGCCTGGCCTTAGCTTTCTGGTTTTTTTAATGGTAGTAAGACACACCCAATCCACAATGTGCCATTTTAGCCACTTTTGAGCATCTGACCTGGTGGCAGAAAGTGCCCACAGTGCACCCCTCACCATGACTTCCTTCTTTAGGAGCATTCAGAAACACCATGGGTTTTGTTTGTTTGTTTGTTTGTTTGTTAACCAATAGTTCTACTTCTGCTCCCTCATCAAATGGCAAGGGCAGGAAACCTCAGAGGGTGAGGCTGGGGGTGGGGCACACAGCAAAGAGCGTGTGCTAAAACTCAGAGCAGCACCAGAGCAGTTACTTCCATCCCAGGTTCCTCCAGACATGGCCAGAGAGGCCAGAGAAACTAGAAATATGTGGAAGACAGACAGAAGCTGTCAAGGATGTGCAGCCCAGTTCCAGGGGTCACCCCACACACCTGCATCAGGAGGCACTCACACCAACCAGCAATGGGTCTTTAGAATACTCTGACTCAGTACACAAAAGCCCATGTCCCTTCCTGCCTGAATGCCTGCAGTAAACTTCTGGGCTCTAAATTTGGTCAAGTAATCTGTGATCAATTTCTGGAGGACCCCTAGGAAGACAGACAAGCACTTCACAAGCTCTGAGTACCCACTCACCACCTTTCCACTCGTTAGAGCTTTCTTTTTAGCACAACAGCCTCCATCAATAAAACTAAATGAGGAGAAACCTCCATGAAGCTTTGTCAAAGCAAATAATTCAGGCAGCGGAATAATGGAAAGGAAGCAGCGAATGTTTACAGCAGCAGGAACTTGAACTTGCCCCTGTGTCTTTAAATACGAAAGAAACTTTCGAGAAATGAATCATATTCAAGGCCTCCCCAAATGCCAGGCCTGGAGCAGCCCAGGGAGAATGTCCAAGTGAAGATTCTATACTATTGATCAGAGCAGACCACGGAGACTCCCCAACCCACACGAGTTTAATAGGGAGAGTCTGCATTTACTGAATTACTAGCAATCAATACATTTTAATAACAGTTATATTAATTAACTCCAAAAAACAGAGCTAAATGAATATTAAATACTACCTGGACAGAAAATGTCTGAGGTTAGCAAATACCTTTTCATCTGCAGTCATATATAATTTAAGTCTGTTTTCCGAAACTATGAATCCTCATCCATACCTGGGTAAAGTCTTCAAATCCGCCATAGGAAATGACCAGGAAGACTGACCGTTTTAATGCTGGACACACATCTTCAAAAAAACCTCAACAGTTTTGCACTCTTTAATGTGAGCACATTAAACGTGGCACACGTGTAAAGAAGGAAAACACCTCCAGTATGCACCGCAAGTGGCACGGAGACACCGCAGGGGTTTCCTTCAATGTCTTCCTACACGGCTACAGCCTACACATTCAACCTGACCTGGTAAGGACCTCAAAGGCAAGCGTGACACAGGGCAGCCCAGTTTTGGCAAAGCAGCTACAATGTAAACCCTATACATCCAACTTCGCCTTCTTATCATCACAGCACAGAACGGTGAGAACTCACTGGGGTCATTTCTAGGACAATCTCCTCAAAATCATTACTAACTACTTCACGCCACAGAGCCAAGGTCTCAGAAAGGCAAGCTGGGCAGTGGGGTCAGGACAGAGCGGAACGGAGAACTATCTGACCAGCAGTAGGAGGCCACAGAGACATCACAGGGGTGGCAGCAGAGCCCACAGGAAGCACACTGCTAGCTCGTGGCCCTCGGCCAGCCTACCCTGCTGCCGAAGGAAAGCGTGCTGTTCGGGAACCAAGGGGGTTTGTGCTAAGAAGCCTCTAGGGGCTGAGAGCCTCCGTGGCCTGAGGACTGACCTCCACTGCTTGCTTCAGGGTAGGACAAGGAAGACAATGTGATGCCACAGGACACTTCCAACACGTGAGACCTAATCACCACAGCCTACACCTTTCCAGAAATACCAGAGATACAGTTTTGAAGATTACAAAGTCTTTATCGTTAGATACTCTTTTGTTGGAGCCAGTAATTCAGCTCTGAGAATAAGAGCACTTGCCACCAACCCTGACGACCCGAGTTCACTCCCTACATAGAGCTGCTTCCAGCAACTTGTCCTCTGACTGCCACATGCCTCCACCCCACCACATAAGTAAGTGTTAAATGTTTTAAATATCAAAACTATTTCTGGGGCTGGAGCGGTGGCTCAGCAGTTTAGAGTGCATACTCCTCTTACAGAGGACAGTTTGGTTCCCAGCACCCAGATCAGGGGGCTCACAACCACCTGTGTCAACTCCAACTCCAAGGGATCCACCACCCTCTTCTGTCTCCAGTTACTGTGAGCAGGCGCAGGTGCAGGCGCAGGCGCGCGCACACACACACACACACACACACACACACACACACACACCCGGGGGGGGGGCAAACATGCACAGAATTTAAAATTAAAAATAAAATCTTTAAAAATAACTTCTTTCTTCAATGTTACAAATAGGGCTGGGGTATGGCTGAGTAGTAGAGCACGTGTTAGCATCCAGCAGGCCCTGCATCTCCTCCCCACACTGCAGGGGGGAAACTATGTCCATATAATTTATGTATGTATATAATATATACACATACACAAACATATGTATATGAATAAAGAGTATACAACCCCATAATGTATATTATAAATAGATTCCTCCTTATAAATCATATTTAAATAATACCAAAACTACCTCTTAGGAAAGATAACAAATGTCATATGCTCCTTCAAATGCATATCCAGAGCTGTTTTGTTTTTGCCTAGTACAGCTACTTAAAGAAAACTGCTAGCTCACAGATAAGCCACTCATCTGTGACCCTTCAGACACCCAAGTTCAACCTAAAGCTCTAGTTCCATTTAAGGATACAAGCAAACAGTATTGGTGAGTGTCTGTCCCATGTCTTAAAAAAACCTCCAGGGACTGGGGAGATGGTGCGATCAGTGAAGTGCTTGCTCTGCAAGCATGAGGACCTAAGTTCAGATCCCCAGCACCCACATAAAAGCTGGGCACAACAGCAAAAGCCTGAAACCCCAGGGTAGACATGTGCCAATACTTGGGCTCTCTGGCCAGCCAGTCTAGTCAATCAGCTAGTTCCAGGTTCAGTGAGAGATGGTCTCAAAAAAATAAGCTCTACCCATTAGTGGAATGAAACAGAGGTAGACACTCCACCCAAGTCAACTCCTGACCTCCACTGGAGCACATGTGCATATGCCCTCAATATGGACACACATGGACATATACACACAAAAAAATAAAATTTAAATTTAAAAAACTATCTGCAGAGAAACAGGTATACTGGCAAGGCCTTGAGTTCAATCTTCAGTGTGTATGCACACACACAGACACACACACACACACACACACACACACACACACACACACACACGGTTAGGAGAAACACTTTTGTTTTTGATGTGTATGAATGTACTACCTGCATGTATGTAAATGCACCCGTGTCATGCAATGCCCACAGAGGTCAGAAGAGAGCGTCGGATCCCCTGGAACTGGAGATATAAATGGTTGCTAGCCGCCATGTGGGTGCTGGGAATCGAACCCGGGGTCCTCTGGAAGAGCAGTCAGTGCTCTTAACCGCTGAGCCATCTCTCCAGTCCTGAGAAAGACAGGTTTTAATGGAAATGACTACAGTTCACATTACTCAGTACATAGTACTCTAACCAAGAACTGAGCTAAAATGGTACTTCTACATGTAACACATTTTATTTCTAAATCTTTTTGGCAATTAAATAACCAGAAAAATCAGCAAACCCCCAAGAAAGTGGAGAAAATGAACTTTTTACAGTTCACTGTTCATCAACCACAGACTTGAAAGATGCCAGAGGTCAGGGCCCAGCCTCCAGCCTGGGCTGCAGAGGAAAATGCCAAACCAGATTTCTTCAAGAGCTATTCTCATTGGTACTAAATTACAAGTAGAGACCTCCCTGGAGGAGAGGCTCAAGTCCACAGCTACATGAGTGTCCATTCAGGGACATGAATCAGGACAAAGGATGCTCCCTCCACCAGTTCCACAGCACAGTATATCAAAATAGAAAGCATTAAAGCTACAAAGTAATCAGGTTGTTTAAAATATATCAAGAGTAACAATGCTGAAAAGAAATTCAAGCACATTCCAGTAGTAATTTGAGAAGAACATAATTTAATCTCCAGGCCTAATCTCTTTGAAATGAAGTAGAATCCTTCAATTCAGACAAATGATAAAATAAATACTACTTTATAACAAAGGCAGCATAGCACAGCACTCTGACCTTCCAGTAAGAACAAAATCATGTGTCAGTACGTTCACACACGGTTCAATCCATGAGACCATGAGATAACCCGACTGGCCGCTTTAGATTTCAATCTGTCTGGCCAGAACCTTATCCAAACTGCACTGATGCAGACCAGCAACTACAGTGTTATCAAAACAACTTTGGCGTCTTATCTTTTCTTTACCTTTTATCGCCGATTTACGGGCTGACTGGTGGTAAGCTGATTTGTGCACGTGCCAGTGTTGGTTCAGGGTACACAACAAGAGGCTGGAAGCTCCAAATTCATGAATGAAAATGGTGACGTCACAGCTCAGCTCCCAGCAGAGCCTGGAGCATGTGAGGAAAGTGTGGGTCTTCTGGGACGCTAAGTCACCAGGTCATTTAATAAAGAAGGTAAACGCAGCAGCCCTTTTTGTTCAGAATGAAGAAAGGACAGCAGAGAAGAGAACACTGGATTTACCTCTGCCCTGGACAGAAATAAAACACACACCTGCGAGAGGCAGGAAGAGGCCGCTCTACACTGAGCTGTTCAGAGTATCAGAGCTGGCAGCCAGACCTTCCAAAGACTCTGTCAGCTCTAAACAAGCAGGCACCATCCTTCAAAAAGCACATGTGCCAGCCTGGCTCCGCCCCCAAGACGCGAGTAAGTAGTCCTGAAAGCAGCAGGTACGAGGGTGCTTTACTGCTATTTTTATGTGGGGGGAAATGCTTTTATCAAATGATGTAAACTAATAAAAAGAAATGACAAAACTCTGATTTACTCAGAACTAATTAAAGGAGCTAATGGAGACTGTTCACATCTTTCATCTCTTGGCAGAACTGAAAAATTAGCGATATTAACTTATGGGAAGTTTAAACACAACTTTCTAAAATCCTCTTATTGGGACACCTAAGTCACTGATTCCTAGATCCTTGTACTCTCTGAGAAATTTATTATTACACCCTTAGAAAATGGCAGTGACCCTCAGATCCTTCCAACCTCTGGAAAGCACAAAACTACAAGGACATCCTTACTAAGCACTCACACAGCTTAAAATAGCCATTCACCCAAAATGGATTTTTGTTTAATTTAAGCAATAAACAATTTTGCCAATAAACATTTTAAAAAGATCTTATTAAGTTAAAATGAAAACAGGCCAGTTTTATCTGGAAATCTAAAATGTTAAGCAATCGGCCCACATTGCCACCACAAATATCTTTGATAGAACATCACTACCCCCTTGTGGATTTGCAATAAAAAATCCTTATCTTGACTCTATTTTTCAAAGGTTCCATTCTGCTGAACTTCCATCAAACTTTACATTTTCCACACTAGAAACTGCTATTTTATTTCAAGTACTTTCTAAAAAGAGGGGAGACACATTTGAAAAGAACCAAGCCCTTCAACTTCTTGGTGATGGAAATGCCCACTTGGGGGTGTAGAAACAGTCCATACTTACTTGGACCATCAATTATCCTTCCAATTATGACTTGAAGATTATTTTTAACCATAAACGGGTAATTATTTCACTGCAGCATCTTTTTCCTTCCTATGATAAATTTCATGTTTTGCATCAATTTCTTAATATCACTCCCAAATGGTTTGCTATCCAGAATGCCTAGGACACCAATGGGGCAAACTGACTCCTCGGGAAGGGACAAAAACTAAGCCTGAAACTGTCTTAAATAATCCTTAACCTTAGTCACATGCTTCAGAAATGACCCCTGGCAGTCTCACTCAACCCTGACATAAGAGAAATATGTTCTTCAAAATTGTCAACACAAGCTATCTTTTATTTTTTATTATTATTTTTAGTTGAAAAAGTAACCTTGGCTGGGCGTGGTGGTGCACGCCTTTAATCCCAGCACTTGGGAGGCAGAG